CCCATGCTGCAAAGATGATCGATGGAAAGTCCACCACTTTCTCTGATAAACCATGAGTAAGGAAGGGTAAACAGAATGGAATAAAATGGATGGTACATGTGTGGATAATCTGGATCTCCCCATAAGGAACTGGACAAAAGCCATGCTTGAAAAGGAAGTGTGGTGAGAGCAGGATGTGGAATCAGTGACTTAGGTTGATAGATGAAGGAGGGTGTGAATCAACTGGATATTTCTGATGGAAATTTATAATTGCTTCAGTATTTTTAATGTTTAAATAGAGTTTAAAAAAAAAGTTCTAACGATTTTCTGAGTTTTCTAAGTGAACATATACATGAAAAAATGGCATAAATAAAAGAAATCTGTGTTACATAATAAGGTCAAGTACTAGGAAAGTACAACTAGCTGGTTAAGTGGTATTGCGAATCACAAGTGAAGAGTTAAGGAAAATGAAGCTACAACACAGACGCTGAGAAAAATGCTAGTCACGAGTTTGACATTGATAAGTTATCGAAGCCAATTTAGTAGTACAGTAAAGGCTACTAAAAAAAGTCAGATCAGAAGATAGGCACATTTGTGACTGGTTGGTCCAATTCTAACTAAGAGCATCCACAACCAAGGCCTGGGGATGAGGTACCAAAACAGATGGAATTTGGAGTTTGCTGTGAGACAATTGCATCCAAACGAGGAGTATTTCATTGTGTGCACAGCCACTGGAAAACCTGAGGGTCAAAGGACTACTCCATGGTGTCTTTCTGGTCTGGACAAGAAAGAAAATCCATGACTAGATTGAAGACACCCAAAACAATACACAAAATGAGGAATGTTTGAAAACCATGGCCCCAAAAAACATAGTTCCAACATTTGGAAACATAGCAAACAGGAACGGGTGCCACGCTGGTGACTGATGTACGACAACTGTCGAAGTGTCGGAATTGATCATGACCAATTTGTCCTGAATTGAGGGAAGGAAATGATCCAAAGCTTGATGAATGGCCAGTAGGTCAAAGGTGTTGATATTTAAAGTTGCCTTGATTAGCCACCAACAACCTGAAATCTCCTGAGGCACCATACTTGCCCCAACCCCCTAGTGAAGCATTTGTGAACAGGTGCAACTCAGAATGAGGTGGTAGAAGAGGAACACTCACCACGGTGGTGTCTTTGCTTAGTCATCATGCGAAATTGACCAGGAGGGAATGTGGGAGCCAGATAATTGAGTCCAAGGTATCGTTGGCAAAGTTCCATTGATCATGTACCATCCAATGAAGAGTGCACATGTGAGCACAACCTAATGGCATAAGTGCTTCCATGGAAGCCCACATTTCCAAGAATGAAAGAATCTTGCATGCAGTAAGAGCAGATGAAGTAAGGACCTTGTTGACTAAATGCTCCATTGACCATAGATGAAAGGAAGAAGGTTGGGCCAAATTGAGATAGGTGTTGAGAAATACTCCCAAGTGGACAAGATATTGGGTAGGTACATGGAAGGACTTCTCCACCTTGGTGATATAACCAATGCAAGTTGCTTCTCTCAGTAGCAACTTTGTGTATTCATAGACTACAGGTTCTAATGGAGCCAGCAGGAGCTACATGTCCATATAATGTTAGAAGTACAAGCATTGAGCATAGAGTAATTGAGCAAAAGCCATGACCACTTGACAAAACACATAAGGTGCTGTGGCCAGTCCAAAGGACAATGTGCAAAACTGGTAAACCTGACCCTTGTTAATGAACTAAAAATACCATCTGGACTGTGGGACAATGGGGATGTGGAGGTGTCTGAGACATCCATCTTGGTCATCCACAGACCTGGTATGAGTGAGAAAAGACTCCATGGTAAAACAGGGAAGGTCTATGAAATGGTTGAGTCAAGACAAATATATCACTGGATGCCAGTCCCTGGTCTACTTGGGAACAACAAACAACCTGAAGTAAAATCCTGGAGAGACTTGACTGACTGATTCTATAGCATCTTTGAGTGGAAGAGTCTGGACCATCTCAGAAAGAAGCTGGGAAGTTGTGGGATTCCAAGAAGGGAGAAAGGACACAGGAACTGATGACAATGGAGGGGGAAAGGAAGTGGAAGAAGAGACCTTCTGATAGCTCCTGAAGAACCCAAGGATAGGAAGTGAACTTCCACCATAGGTGAACACATCTGAACAGGCATGCTCCTACCCTACCAGAACCCACTGGGTAGTCACTGGTACCACAGGCAATGTGTGTATCTGCAGTGAGAAGTACAATGACTAACTGTTGAAACCATGGAGAAAGAAACAAGTAAAAGTTGAGAAGGTGTGGGATGGGATACAGTAGTGGGGACAGGTGAAGGCTGAGACAACCTGGAAACCCAAGAAGAAATGGAAGAATACTGTCATGCAGATTTCACCTGTGACTTCAGGAACTCAGTGACATCTCCAAAATGAGATCTGCATAAAAATGATGTCATTCTGAAGTCATGCAGACAGGTAATGGGTAGGCATACCTGACACAAAGATTTATCTCTACCTAGGAGATCCCAGCAGCAGAGGAGCCAGGTTTGGAGGGAAAGGACTGAAGAGGATAAACATGCCAGCATGGAAAATATGAGAGTACAGGTCTCCTACAAAAACCTTACATGGAATTGGTGGATAGACTGGCAGAATCCACAGGTGATATAGCGGAATTCATAGCATAAGATAGGGGGAAGAAAAGCGTTCTCCAAACACTAGTCATCAAGACCAGGTTCTTCCAGAAATTGAAGATCTTGTCCAGGTTCATGAGAAGCTGGTTGTCTCATGCAGTATTCAAACTCTCATCAAATTATGGCCAAGATCTTTTCAGATGAAAGTGTAGAAACTGCAGCCTGAGAAGTGACATTCAATTCACCAAATTAAAAAGTGAAGAAAAACAACACAGTTAAGTTTACTCCAACTGAAGTTGTAATTCAAATGCTAAACTTGTAACAGTCTAAAATTAACATGCCGCTACAATCAAGGTACAACAACAAAAACACAAGTTATTCTCAATAACAACACTTAGAAATATATTCAACACAGTTAATAAACAAATGCCTGGCCAGGACTTCACACCAATATTAATATATAATTTATCATAAACATTAATAAATCAATATTAATGGAATCAGGAAAAAGAACCAGAAAGAAAAAACCTAATTCTAGAAAGAATACAGCAATTACAATATTCAAACAATACCTTTCAATATTGATAACAATATCGAGTGGCAAACAGAAATCACTATACTCTTCAATAACTATATTGTGACTTTATCTTCTTCTTACTGAAGCTTCTGGCAGGGTATTTACACACAGAGTAGGTCACGAGAGTACAACCTCACGTGAAAATAAATTTACATACTCTTCTGCTAAATTAATAGTGTATGTACGTCACCTCTAGAGAAGCTGGTGTCAGTTTCATCATACACACACACACATATATATATATATACTCAAACTACAAATGAGCAAAATTCAACAACATCTGAACACAATAGCGCCTAAATGAGAATTGAAGTTAAGCTAAATATGATAGTATAGTTTGTTTGATATGGATTTTACGCAAAGCTACACGAGGACTATCTGCGCTAACTGTCCTTAATTTAGCAGTGTAAGACTAGAGGGAAGGCAGCTAGTCATCACCACCCACCGCCAACTCTTGGGCTACTCTTTTACCAATGAATAGTGGGATTGACAATGACATTATAATGCCCCCACAGCTGAAAGGGTGAGCACGTTTGGTGTGACAGGGATTCGAACCCATGACCTGCAGATCGCGAGTCGAGCGCCCTAACCATCTGGCCATGCCGGGTCCTAAATAGTATAGAGAGAGTAAACTGTGTTACAAGAGTGTGTCACACACCTATGGGTGAAAGGTTGTCACATGCTTAGTTGCAAGGGAAAATGCAGTATAACCACAATGACTGTGGGGTAGGTGGGAGTTTCAAGTTTAGTGGTGAGCACATTTTAGAGAGCAGCACTGAACAAGAGAAATTATTATGTGAGAGGAGGTAAGATACTGGGTGGGAAAAGTAAACAACAAAAATATTTTAGTTTCAGCAAATTTGAAATTTTTAAAGAATAATCATGAAAGTCTAAGCTTGAATAAAACCCATCCATATACAGAGAAAAGTATATGACAGCTACATTAAAATTCCTTTTATAAATTGGATAGTTTACAACAAAAAAACCAGACTCCTGAAAGATTCATTTGGATACTGAGATAAGTAGATTACTGAATCAAGTATGTCATCACAAGATTTATGGTAACAAGTAGGCAAGCTCAAATAAAAATTAATTGACTGATGCAAACAACTTATGCTATAACCACATTAAAATAATTTAAGAGAACACTGTATTTATAATTACTTTAGTTACTTCATACTTTCTCTTTACTACACTATATCAATTTCCAAATTGTTAGAAAACAGCATTATATTCAATATAAATTGTAGGCAGTATTGATTTACACCCTTTTCATTTCAACACGTATCCAATGTATATTACATTGTAAATTTTCACTGTATTTCCACTAAGTTACATTTAATAAAAAATCTAAAAATAAAATAAAACTAAAATACAAATTAGTTGTTTTCTTACTGACTAGTAACTTTTTAAGAACCAATCCAATCATCATCAAATACATGAATTGTTTAAGTCAAATTTAGTATGTTAGACAACAGTGATACTTTAAGTTCTACCTTTATCACTAATTTTTCACTTGTCACAAATGAAAATATATAAATCATGTTAATTATCCAAGATTAATTGATTTTAAGATTACTTAGATAAATAGAATCACCTTTGCAAAATTAATCTTACTTAACAGAAATAGAATTATAATTTTATTTCATAGCCTACAATTTTGAAATAAATACCAAAATCTTAGGAAATATTATTACTATAGGAAAGTTAATGTCAACATTTAGCTCAACACATTAAATACAAGTGAGTAATCATTGAAAACAGCACTTCTGCAAATATTATCAAATATTTTTATATTTTGCTTACCAGGTAAAGGTGTGTTTTCACTTGTTTCTGTTTCAGTGGTGTAATTTGAAACCTCTGTAGTTAAGTCTTCCTCATCATCAAACAATACATATTCACTAAGAAGGCTACTAGTCTGACTAGAGTAAAAAGAAGTGAACATATCAAATTCTGATTAAAAATGCTCTGAATAAAGATGAATAATAAACAGAAATTTCTACTTACATTCTATGAGAGAGAGAAGTAAATTTATTTTACTTGTAACACCTGCACAGCTTAATTAATTATTTACCAGAATAATTAATTTTTTTAACATCACAATGCACTGTTTATTTCACAATAGCATATTGCTCTTTTGTTTAAGTTACTGGATAATAATTACACTGCAACAACGTTTAAAAGTTTTTGCACAATATTTACTGAAAACTTGTATTATGAAATGATTACATGTCTAACTGAATTCACACGATTTGAAAATAATTAGGTAAAACAAAAAAAGTAAAATAAAACCAATAATTGAATGCCAATGAAACTAATTTCAACTTGAAAGAAAGAATAAGACAGTGCATAGTAGGCATATACAGTACGATACAGGTCTTACACAAAAACACAGAACTTTACAGCAGGTCTCAGTCCTTCCAAAGCAGAAGCTAATCTCTTCTGGAAAGTGCCAAACTGCTCTTACAATCCACAGTCTGTGTTTGTGCAGTTACACAGCTGCATCCCAAGAATCATGAGGTATCTCTGCTCCATGTGAAAGTGTTAGGAACAGTACAACTATCTCTTAACCAACATATGCCATAACAAGCACACTTAGGACTGAATAAGTACATCACCTGTACTAGATGTATCAGGTTCATAGGGTTGTAATAAAAAGTATCCAGAAGTGTAAAAAGAAAATAAAAAATATACATAAGGAGCACATAAAAACTTTTTTAAAACTGTAGTCCTGAATACAATAGTCCCTCACAATACACAAGATTTATGAAAGTTAAGCACTCTTCTTATTCTTTTAGACAAGATATTAGAACAAACCTTCCTTGAATAAACAACAGGAGATATAATCTTAAATATTCTTGTTTGAGACTGCTCAAGTTTGGATAGATCTTCCATATTATTTTCATATAGTTGCAACATGGTTGTAATTTAACAACTGAGAAGTGAGTTGGCCCCTGCAAATTGTGCAAAACATGGTCTTATGATTAATCAAAAATGTTTATTTTAATATTTTCAATACATTTTTTGTGTTTTCAAAAGAAATATATATTTCTATGATCTTTGTTTTGAAAATATTATGTAGTGAAACTTCTCTAAATCAGTTCCTCTGAAAACTGCTTATTATCCTTGATGTTGAACAAGTTTTTGAGTCCTGTCTGAACTGTTATAATTCTCACATTATCGACCTAGCGTTACCAGACATCCCAGTTATGCTGGGACAGTTCCATTTTTTTGGTAGTTTGCCCAGTGTCTTAAGAAAAGTTCTTGGGACACAAAAAACATTGAATCACAAATGTAATAGGCCTATTTGACTTGCTCAATGTTGTAACACATACTCTCCTGCTGTCATACTCTCTTGAAAGTTCTGTCTATGCTTGGTAAGAAACTCAGGTCTGCACAGGTGTGAATGTAGAAGCAGTTAAGACAGTACTCATCATCATTTTATACAGTCATGTACTAAATTTTTTTGAATATTTAACGAAACAAAAAACAGATATTCTAGGTTCCATTCATTCTTCACAAAAATATGTCTTAAAAATATCAAAGTAATGCTAAAACCTTAAAGTGGTATGTTTGAAAGTATTATGGATTCTTAAACAAATCCAGGTATGAAATAGCCTATTTTAAAATGAATTGGATAAAGTGAATAATTAAAGATTTCTTGGATGTATAATTTGACTAGTTTTGCTCATTTTTTTGTGTCTATCACAAAAAAAGTAGTTGAAATTATTTCAAAACAATGCTTATGTTAATATACTTGGAAATATTGTGAAACAGTTCAATAAATTTAAAGTGAATAAAAGCTAAATTATTTCAAATTTTCAACAATCATTTTAAAATTAGGGGCAAGAGCTGGGCTCTCACAGTTTTTGGTTTGAAAATCTGGTCACCCTATGTCAGCCACTTCTCTAAACCAGACATCAGACACTTGCCATAGATTTTGTAACAAGTTTTAGTAATGTTGATGCCAATTTACTAGTCTATGCTTATTACACAAACAAAAAGCAGATTTTTTTTTTTCATTTCATTAGTCAGGCTCATCCAGCAAAGCATCAACATATTGAGTTATCACTTAATGATAAAATTTATAATGATGAGTAACAAGTCTCTTAACACAAATTTATCAAAGATTTAACACCACATGCAATTTTTTTTTTTACATAAATGATGTTTTCTAGAGACAGTTCAGCACTGTCAGGTCAAAATACATACCCGAAAATGGACAAATGATCTCTCACTATTCAAATTCCAAGCTTCAAATGGTTAATTAGATCATTAGAGAACACGATATTCTTTCAACACCCTCAGAATTAGTGGACAGAATGTTGGCACTGATACAAACACCTTTGATAATTACCAACTAAGACTGCCTGAAATATCAACTCTGAGTGTTTTCCAGTCTCATCTGGATTTTTACCACTTTTTATCCTGTACAGTAAGTTATTTGTATTGTATTGTAATTTTGAAACTGGAAACAATCTGTTTTAGAATTCTGTATAAAATAATCGTTGTTTTTAAAAATTGTGAATTTTTTTAACAAGCCTACTTATTAATTTATTGCTGATAGTGATTTTTATGTCTTTGATAACTGAAATAGGACTTTTCTACAGTGTGGGTTTTGGGGAATAAGCATACCCTAGGAGGCAACACCAGCCACATGGTGGGATCCTATAAAAGGGAAGAAGGTTATGAAGAAGAAAATGTACTTACCCTTTTCAAATATGTACAGATTGAGGAACAACGACTGGAGGGAGTCAAAATCTTGCAGGAAACAAAACAGACAGATGATAAAGATAATGGGAGATGAACATGTGTAGAGTCATTCACATGCCTGTCAGAAGCATCTCTTCCAAGGGTTGGCAAAAGTGAGATGCAAGAGTGTGAAACAGGTTATGAATCTGAGAAAATATGAAAGAGCCTATGAGCATCAATATTCAGGAATGATACAGCAATCAATGGAGCTGGCAAACCCATCTAGTAAGGGTAGGAGGCAATATATCCCTGAACAAAAGTAGGTCCCAAGATAGAAACAAATGATGATGGGAAATTCACAAGGGAGACATATGTGCCAAGTAATACTGAACAGCTTGAACTGGACACAGCAAGCAATCCAGATAGAGAGGTAAGTAAATGCTGTGAAAGACAGTATGAGAGGCATCAATGGTATATACATTTAAATGACAATTGGACAAGAAGGAGAAGGAAATATGCCTTCAGAGAAAGGTGATATAAGAAATATGAAGCCAGTGGCTTCAACAGAGAACATGATAGAGCACATAAATCCACATTAAGGTCCCAGTCAAGCATTGGAGTAGAATGATGGGGTTGGTGAAGTAGGAAAGATCTGAACAAAATGGAGAGTACAAGGAAAAATAAAACCTTGTGGTAATGGAAAGGATTAAATGTAGTTGATAAAGCCACTCAGTAATCAGCAATGGTAGAAAGTGGTAATTTATCTTCAAGCTATCATGTAAAAGAGGCCAAAAGGTAGTCCAATGTAGGATGGCCTAAAGGAAGAGAGGGTGGATCAAAAAACCTGTCACTTCCACTGAAAGATTGGCAGAGTTGAAGGACAACAGGAATGGGACCAGAAAAAGCTATACAGTCAAAAAGGCCAGCCCTGTGGGCAATGGACTAGACAAATCACACATGTGAAAGTGAAGGAATGACACTCCTGAATGAAAGAGAGATGTGGTTGGAGCAAGAAAGAGCAGGAATTATGCAAGGAAGTAATCTTGAGTACAAGTAGTATGAGTATGGGAGGAACTGAGAATGACAGAAAGAAAAGAATATACATACAAAATCAAGGAAAAATATTAGAAGTGTGTGAATTTTCTTCCACAGATAAAGCTGTGCCTAGAGCAAATGCTGGTGAGGGAAATAGCTGGTCATGTTCAAACTTGGGAGAATGAACATCAGCTGAATGGTGGATAAAAGTAAGATGTCTGGTATACACGAAGGAACCCACAACACATTGAATAAATGCTGTCACATCCTCCACAAACAACAAGTCTCCACGTTAGTAACATCATCACTATCACAGGACGAAGTGTGAGTTACTTTCACTTGAGAATTCATTATGTGAAATTAAAGAAACCACACAGGTTATGTGAGACCCAAACATTAAACCAAGTAAACTTGAACAAAAGTTAACTTAATTGTAAACTATCATAAATATCAACTGATAAATAATTTTTGAACATGCCCATTTAAGACTATATTGATGAGAAGAATGAAGTTAAATAAAGTGCAGATTCTAAGGAAGAGTTACTGTGCAAGGAGGTTGTGTTGTCCTTTTACTGGAGGAAGGATATCATTGCATGCTGATGACATCATGCACTAGAACAGTTCATGTTAATCATGTTTTATAGGTCAGAGGTAGATCAAGGCAAATGGCATGCAAATCTCATTGGAAAAATGTGGGAAGGAATCAAGCATTTGTGTGTGTAGAAGTAAGTATTGTCTCAGAAATGGCCATAGCTAATTTAATTTTTATATTTTTACTTAAATATCAACAGCAAACACTATTTATTATATAAAAATCCAAAAAGCACAAGAAATAAAACATTCAAAAATGTATTTCAAGGAAAAGAAGCAATACTGACAACCTCTCTAAATCAGTCATTTTTGACAGTTTAGAGACTGTAATTATACTGTATGCAATCTCATAGAGCTTTGATAACTTGCAAGTGGTTTTTGTTTAAACTAAGGCAAAAATAACTATGTGGTGATATATATATATATACACACTTTATGCTTCACTGCCTGATTGCCCATTTTTTACTATTTTCATGTATTTCTCTTAATGTTTGTACACTTTAAAGCTCCTCTGAACTAATATTTTAAATGTAAACAAGTATCTACCATTAAATAAATTAAATAATATTTCTTGTATGATGATAATTTATCACTGGATGCTTTC